GTGTTCAATACTTTTTCCCTGTGCCATTCCACATTATTTCAAATAACTTCATTTCTGGACATTTGTGGTTTGATTTCTTTGTATGTATGGATCACTTGGGTTGTTACAAACATCTCTAGTAATATATTTACTGAGAAAAATGTTGACGTGTTCAATACTTATTTTACTCACTGTACATACACAATGTGTTTGCACTGAAAAGTTATGGAGATGGTTAAATAATTGTATGATTATATCTGACTCAAGTCATCAAAACATTTTTCATATTTCATTTTTATTTAACTTTTAATTACTAGTATAATTTTTAAGCTAATAATCAATCATTCATATGCCCACTAAATCATCTGATGAACAGAAAAGTGCAATCCAATTAAAAAATATATAAAACAAACAATAACATTACCTATATGCAACAATCTTTCCAACATATTGCATGCAAACCATCATTAAGGTGCTGAACACTGGGCTGTAAACATTTGTTACAAACTTAACTTAAACATTGCACAACAGTCATGGTTCTCACTTCAGTGGAAGATATTTGCATGGACATTTGCAGCCAGCATCTTAAACTTTGGCTGGAATTGGGTCAAGACAATTCTTACATACGCATGCAGATATTTGTCAGTTGTGAGAGGAATGTGTTTTTAATCATAACAGTTGAGAAGACTGACAACTGTTTTTTTTAGCTACTGAATAATCATTCATATGCTCATCAAATCATCTGCTGAACAGAAAAGTGCAACACAATTTAAGTACCAACGTTACACAAAAAAATAACATTACATATTGGCAATAACCTTCGCAACATCTATTGCACACAAACCATCATAAAGGTGAAAACAATTCACGTAAAAACCCAAGCAACATTTAGTGAATGATAACTGTGCTGTAAATATTAATACATATTTTTGACAAACTCAAGAGTCAGCACAATGCAACTTAAAACATGGTGCACAACAGTTATGGCTCTCACTTCAGTGGGAGAAATTTGCATGAACATTTGCAGCCAGCATCTTAAATTTTGGCTGGAACGGGGTCAAGGCAATTCTTAAACATGCATGCAGATGTTCATTAGTCAGTTGTGAGCGAAATTTGTTTTTAATCATGTTAAGAGTTGAGAAGGCTGACTCACAACTGTATGTGGATCCAAACATGGTTAGGGTAAACACTGCCACTTTGGTAAGTCCTGGAAACTTAGTCTTTGGCACAGTCTGGATCCAGAAGGTAGTATGATCAGAAGCTTCATATTGCTCTTAACAGTACATCAGCTTGCAAATCTATAAGTTCCATTTGCAGAGAACCCACATCCACCCATTTGTAGACATGTGTGGCCTCCTGTGTGAATGTGATGACATTTTTCAGTAGAGAGGGATTCTTTACGAAAAGGTGGAGCTGATCTTCCAAAACGAAGCCATCAAAGTGATCTTTGAAGTTTTCAATCAGTTTTTGTACAAAAGCATCTTGTGAGTTAATATTAGCAGCACCCTGGATTTCCTTTAGTGAGGGAAAATGTGTACAGTCCTGCTGGAGATCCTGTTTCAGAATGTCGAGTTTTCTCTGAAAAGACTTGACATCTGTTATCAAGTCACACACAGAATTGTTCTTTCCTTGTAATCTCAAGTTGAGGTCATTGAGGTGTGCTGTAATGTCTGCAAGAAAAGCGATTTTCTCCATGTTGTTCTTGTCCTCCAGAAACTGCAAGAACTCACTGGCCTTGTGACTTTGTTGTTGGGACAAAAACTGTTTGATTTCATGTCGTAGCCCCCAGAAGCGTGCCAGCACTCGGCCTTTGCTTAGCCATCTACCATTGGAGTGCAAGAGCAAGTCATTGGCATCTGCATTCACTTCTTTTAAAAACTCACAAAGCAGGCGGTGCTGATGAGATGAAGAAGCACGGAGAAAGTTAACAAGTTTAGTGACTGTATTCATTACCACTCCATACTCCTCTGAGAGTGATGAGCACAGAACAGACAGGTGGATAATACAGTGATATGATAATAAGTCTGGGTTGTTCTCTTTTAGTTGAGAAACTGCTCCTTTTTCTCACCCTATCATTGAAGGTGCACCACCAGTGGTAATAGAGACAACACTGTTCAGATTGATCCCTCTTGTAGTTAACATTTCTTTTATTGCTGAGTAAATGTCTTCTCTGGTGTGGGTTTTTAATGATGTAATGCCCAAAACATCCTCCACTAAACTTTTACTCTCTTCGTGATAGAATCTGACATATACCAAAAGCTGGGCATTGTCATTAACATCTGTTGATTCATCAGCTGCCAACGCTATGCAGGGAGCACTTTGAATGGAACCGTCGAGCTGGTTCTGTACATCCTGGGATAATAACTCTGCTCTCCTTGTTGTGCTTGTGGCTGACATTGGTATTTGTTTGACCTTTTCTTTAAGTTGTTGTCCTTCTTATCCATCTATAAGGGTTTCTGCCACAGCTTCCATGCACTCTTTGATCATTTCAGAGTCTGTGAAAGGCTTTTTGTGTTTTCCTAAAATCCACTGTACTCGCAGTGAACACTCGTATGCTCGTTGTTGTGCTGTAAGTGACTGTGTTATCAGCCGTGTAGCTCGCTCATACTGTCCCTGCAGTTCATTTATTCTCCTTCTCCTACRGTCAGAACCAGGTGGATAGCTTTGGTTGAAGTTCTTATGTTTTGTTTCATAATGRCGRTTTAGATTTCCGCTCTTTATGAGACCGARGGATTCAGAACATATGAGGCAGACTGGCCGTAGACTTGACGGGGGTAAAATGAAAGCGTATGCTTCCGTCCATTCATCTTTGAATGAGCGATTTTCATAGTCCACTTTACGTATTTTTGACAAAGCCATCTTCTTTTACTTACTCGTCTGTGCATCATCAAGTCATGTACCGCCAACTAGCTAGCTGTGTCTGAGCGCGCCCGAGCTTAGCAACCCTTGTTAGGACCCCCAAGACCCGCATATAGCTGCTTGCTGCGTCTGTTCAAAAGTCAGGCGCTGCTGTTGGCCAGAATAAAATGTAAAATAAATGTAGTAAATTACAAAATGCTTTGCGGTCCGGACAAAATCGTCTCAGGGTCCGGATTCGGACCGGAGTCCGGGGGGTGGGGACTCCTGGTGTATAATGTTAAAAAGGCAGCACGACGGCTCAGTGGTTAGCACCGACGCTCCACAGCAAGAAGGTCCTGGGCTCAATCCCCGGTTCGGACCTGGGATCTTTCTGTGCGGAGTTTACAAGTTCTCCTCGTGCTCGCGTCGTTTTTCTCCAGGTACTCCGGTTTTCCCCACCCCCCCAAAACATGTACAATAGGTTGCCTTCAGTTCCAGGCCGCCCTTGAAAAAGGGATCTGAGATCTCATTGGGACTTGTCTGGTAAAATAACGGTAAATAAGTGTTATGATTATATTATACCGTGTACTTGTGTGTGTGGTGGGTGGTAAGAGTTATCTTGCATTTATTGTTATCGAGGTGAACTGGTCAATATATCGTGATATTGATTTTAGGCCATATCGCCCAGCCCTAGCTACAAATAAGCAAATGTTGCTTCATTGATTAATTGACTGCATTTATATAAAGTGTTAATTTGGCAGTAGTAGTTGTTGAGCTAAAACAGATGTTTATACAGAGACTTGCTTATTTTTCTTACCATTCATTCTCTGTTCAGCTGGTTCATGCAGGCCGGAACAGATAGATTTGGTAGAACCAGCAAATATGGCCACCGTGATGGAAGTCACCAGGGTACAACAGCGCACACTCGCCATCCTGTGACCTCTGCTCATCTCATCGTAGATCAGCCACTCTGTGGGGAGAGCTGGGGCTGATTTGGCAGAGCCGTTCTAAACACCCAAAACACAAAAACACACATCTAAAATATTTTCCATTTTTTCTGTTTTTAAATCATAAAAAAAATATGTGACAAAGTGATCAAACAATCTATTTTGATCAAAGTTGTTGTCTAATCGAAAATAATCAAATAGTGATTAAAGAGAAGCTGTGTAAGTTGTTTTTAGTGTAAACCTCTAACCCAAGAGCTTTTCAAACAAGTTCTAAACTCGAAGGATGAACAGTGACAGAAAATATATTGTCTTGTATGAAGTACCTGAAAGTGATACTTGAGTAAAAGTACAAGTATCTTATCATAATATGACTTTGGTAAAAGTTAAAGTCTCCTCTAAGAATATTACTTGAGTAAAAGTCTTAAAAGTATCTGATTTATTTTGTACTTAAGTATCAAAAGTAAATTTCTGAAATAAAATGTACTTAAGTAATAAAAGTAAAAGCATGGAGTAAAAATGAGTGGCTAGATTTTCCAAAATACATTTATTGAGAGGCGACCTATTCAAAAAATATTTTTTCTAAAGGCGTGCAGCTTTGACTAACTGTATCCAAACTAAATACAGTATCAGCATGATATATATTTATACTTCTCATCCAACCACAATTAAATTCACTCGATCCAGGAGGCACAGTTTATCAGGATAAGAGTTTTTAAACAATAACAAGCTGAAATGAAATAGGAGTAACGACTTTCTACTTCTTACTTTTTATAAAAAATATAAGGAGTAGAAAGTACAGATAACTGTGTAAAAATGTAAGGAGTAGAAGTAAAAAGTATGCAGAAAAATAATTACTCAAGTAAAGTACATATAACCTAAATTTCTACTTAAGTACAGTAACAAAGTATTTGTACTTAGTTACTTTACAACTCTGGATATTCTGAATTAGGATTTAGGCATTTTGTTTGAAGCAGCCTGTAATAAATAACACACATTGTGTTCCTATTTTTAGTTGTATGTATAAGAAGTGCCACTGACCAAACAAACAGAAAATTATTTTTTTTATTTATGGACCAAAAAAGTGGCTCTAAAGTTTTTCTTGGTGTTCTTGTTTTACACTGGTTTGGTTGACCAAGCAGTTTCTGCTGGTATTTCTGGCACTTTTAAAATATCATCAACTATCATGTTTGCTTTGCTGCTGGCAGTGTTTCCTCTACCATTATACAGGCGGGGCGGCCCCCCGCCAACAAGACAGCCGCCCCTCTAAGAATTTCACGGCATGTAGTCATTTTTATTTAAATAAGGCCAGGTCAAGTCGAGAGCTATTTTTTTGCGACCCTCCATATCCACCTCTCGCCAAACTTGGGGGAAAAAACAGCGCAGAGTGAGGCTGAGAGCTGTGTGTGGTCCCCACAAAGATAGGAAGACGTGTGTGAGATTAGACGCGCAGCTCTGCTGCACGTAGCACCGATGCGACAGCTTTGTAAGCTACTTTTTCTTTCTTTAAAATAAAATGTGACAGGTGAAGCCACAGCATGCTTACTACCTTATCAATAATTACTGCCTTTTTCCCCCTTTCTCTGTGGGTGGGGGGTCAGCTTCACTCAGCTGCAGGTGAACACCTCTTGGGAACGCACACGTCTCCTGGACTATTTTCCACCGAGGATTATGTCGTATTTTATATTTATTATATTTCTAAAAGCACTTCACAGCATTTCCCCCTGTGTGTTCACGTCACGAGCGCAACAAAACTGGACGGATCAGCTGACTGTTTTTAAAGTGAGGTGCAGCGAACATGTCCACCTGCAGCTCGGCTCCGACCAGCCCGGGATTAAGTTCATACATGTCAACCCCTTCAGACGTTTAATGCGTTTAATGAGCGTCCAAAATTTGTAGTTTGCGCAAAAAATCAGTATTAATCACGCAGATGGGGTGGGAGTGTGCTGACTGCAGCTGCATGGGGTGGTGGGGAGGAGGAGGGTCTTTTAAAGACGTGTCTACATTTGACTTTTATTTTTTCTAAAATCACAGAGTTCTCTGAGTCAGCTTCAAATGATTGTAGTTAATCA